ATGCCTGGTTTAATCTGATGTGGGAAAGAATGAGTTTGTACTCTTCCTTCAAAACATGTACAAATGGATTAGGGATTGAAAACATTCCGCAAGTTTGATTCTGTTGAATCGAGTTAGCTATGTTTCGTTAAAGAGTGTCACTGCTGATAAGATTGGCTGCTGAAACTTTTGAACTGTGAAGGCATTTATCTCACTGTGATTAGTTTGGGTTCAGGTTCAGGATTGTTCAAGAAGAAAGGATTTAAAGGATCATTTGCAGATGCAGGGCAGTCTGCAAAGGTCTGTAATTATAAACGAATGAAACTGTATCAGGCTTTTGCATATATGTATGCTTATTGTTCCAGGAAACTGAGTAATTTGCAATTTCTTGTTTAAGACTTTTGCTGTTCTATCTGGAGTACACAGTTTGGTTGTTTGCCTTCTGAAGCAAATACGTGGGAAAGATGATGGTGAGACTCTTCATATTTCTTCCTCGTAAAGTACATATGATTGATTACACAGATGTAGTTATACATGAACTTGCATTGTCTCTCTTGCTGATATTGATGTTGCTCTTATTTTGTAGCCATTAATGTTGGAGTTGCTGGCTGCTGCACTGGTCTTGCACTTAGTTTCCCCGGTAAATCCGAATCCATTGTGTTTTTACTTTGTTGGGTACAGATCCTGCAAGCAGTCACATTTGATTTTCAGACACTTTAGTCCCTGAGATATAAGTAAGAGAGAGCTAACCACCGCTTATATGGTCTGTGTTTGCAGGTGCTCCACAGGCTATGCTACAGAGTTGTCTAACTTTTGGGGCTTTCTCTTTTATCCTTGAGGGACTCAACAAAAGACAAACAGCTTTGGCTCACTCTGTCTCATTGAGACACCAAAGCGGACAGTTTCAAGATCGTTATCGCCCTTTACCACTCTCTCTTGCTCTCCCAATCCCTGAGGAAATTAAAGGAGCCTTCTCTTCTTTCTGCAAGTCCTTAGCTAAACCCAAGAAGATCTAATTTCACCCGATTCTCTTCTCCTTTGTTTTTGCCTTAGGCTCTCTCTGTAGATGTTTAAATTTCCCGCTTTTGCTCTGCTTTGTGAGAAATGTTTTATGGAAGGCTTTTTGCATTGGGCGATTTGAAAAANAAAAAAAAAAGAGTTGTGTACCTTTTGCTCTATCAATACTATCTTGATTCAGATTTTTGCTACTTTTAGAAAAATAATTGTATATTTTGTTCTTGCTTTAATATATCACGGTCTTACTCTTTAGTTTTAGTTTGTAAAAGAAACCATGAGAACTTAAAATTATAGAAAATCACAATTTGCCAATGGATATTAGGACCAAAAACTTGGTTTCTGGAACCAGTTACAGTAACAAATAATTTCTTATCAGAGAATTAACATTACTTTCTATAGGAATTGACATTACTTTCTATAGGGTATATATGGAAAAATCCATATCATATCCAATTTACAAGAAACATGAATCGAATCACCATAAGAAAACTAAAATAAAATATCTCAAATCCTATTGGAGTTTTACGAATTTTGCTAGGAAAACAAAAGGAACCTCTTCGTCTCTTTTTTAACTTGCGAATTTTTTTTTGCAGCATTCACAACACAAGTAGTAGCAAGAGTGACACAAGTCTTAGCCATGGATACATCTTCTTCTCAAATGGTACGTCTCTTCTTTCTTTCTTGACATCATTATCATCATCATACTCTCCTTATTATAGTTTTGTGATTTGATCGATTCGTCCTTTGTTCTCGCAGTAGTGCGTTTTAAGACTAAATATCCAAACGGACCAAACCCGTGGATGGGACAAATCCATGCGTAAGTTCTTGAAAGGCATCCAAGGTTTATCTGTTTTACCTAACCGATTACGATCGGCCTATGCGTCTTGCTTTTGCAACTTCATCTCGAGCATCAGCTCGGTGATGAACAACAATATCGTCATCACTTCATCTAACTCCATTCACCTTTGTGTTTATGTTGAGTGGATGGATTGAAAATTGTCATAAATTATGCGTCCATGTTTTCTATCATTTTTGCCATGAATTCATTTCTATAGGTTTATAGTTTCGGTTGTAAACCTAAAACGTATTCATTATTAATGAAATATTTACCTTCTAGCAAAAAAAAGTTTACAAACCTTTTTCTTATTTCAAAACCTGCCAACATTGTTACGAGTATAAACCATAATAATTATTATCCTAGTGATCTTGTTTTTGTGAATTAAAGAGAGGTTTTTAGAGACTGAAATTTCTATATATCACTTCCTTGATCACTTCAATAGCTACACACTATCTCCT